GCCCTGCCCTGCCCCGGCCGATAAACTCTTCGGAGGGCTGAGGGCAGCTTTGAGCGTTTGAGGTAGTTTCTGAAGGATGTCGTGTCTGGGACCGTGGCGGGGAATTCCTGCTTCTCGGGCGCGTCCCTCCTTTCCTGCGGCGCTCGGCGTGTCCGCTGGCGCGTCAGCGGCCAGGGGTCGCCCGCACGAAGTGGTTTTGTCGTGCACTTCCAACAAGCCGTTGGTTTTTTACCAAATTCCCCAGGCCTGAGGCACAATCCTTGCTTAATTTGTACCTTAAATTGTAGGCGACGCTCTCTTTTCAGGTCTCTACGTCTCTTAACAAAGCTTAATAAGTATCAGTGTTCCCATTTAAGAGAGAGGAGAACTGAGCGTCCGATTTGATACAACCTACTCAGGACGACGCAGCCAGTCTTCTGTAAATTTAAATTCTCTCGTAGCGTTTAAAGTGTGTTTCATGTGTTTCTTTTGCAGATACTGATCATAATATGACCCAGTCACCAGGTGTAATGTCACTGCAGATGGTATCAGCTATCAGTAACTCGTCCTTGATTCAGCCTGGCTTTTCTCTGCTGAATTTTGGTGGGCAGGTTTTCTTTTTTGGGCAGAAAGGATGGCCAAAGAGATCCTGTCCCACTGGTGTTTTCCTCCTTGATATAAAACAGAATGAGCTCAAAATGAAACCTGCAATCTTCTCCAAAGATTCCTGTTATCTTCCCCCTCTCCGCTACCCTGCTATTTGCACTCTCAGAGGCAATGCAGAGTCCGATAAGTACCAGTATATCATTCATGGTGGGAAAACACCTAACAACGATCTTTCTGACAAGATTTACATTATGAGTCTCGTAAGCAAAAATAGCAAGAAAGCCACGTTTCAGTGCATTGAGAAAGATCTGGCCGGAGATGTCCCTGAAGCTAGATATGGACATACAATTAATGTAGTTCACAGCCGGGGAAAAAGCATGAGTGTTATTTTTGGAGGTAGATCATATATTCCTCTTGGACAAAGAACCACTGAAAAATGGAATAGTGTGGTTGACTGTTTGCCATCTGTGTTTCTGGTTGATTTCGAGTTTGGATGCTGTACGTCGTACATACTTCCAGAGCTTCAAGACGGACTTTCTTTCCATGTTTCAGTCGCCAGAAATGATACGATCTACATTTTGGGTGGTCACTCGCTTCAAAATAATATCAGGGCCCCCAGCTTATACAAGCTAAAAGTTGATCTGCCACTGGGCAGCCCAGCTGTGACTTGCACTGTCTTGCCGGGGGGGATATCTGTGTCAAGTGCTGTCGTGACTCAAATTGGTGATACGGAATTTGTCCTCGTTGGGGGCTATCAGTCTGACAACCAGAAAAGGCTAGTTTGTAACACCATAGTTTTAGAAGATAGCAAGATAGAGATTGTGGAAAGGGAGAGCCCACAATGGACACCAGATATTAAACATTGCAAGATGTGGTTTGGCTGTGATATGGGCAAAGGGTCTGTATTGCTGGGCATTCCAGGGGACAACAAACAGATGATCTCAGATGCAAACTACTTCTACATTTTGAGATGTAGAGGAGCAGAAGAGGACGAGGAGGAAGAACTGACAGCCCAAACTTGCAGTCAGGCATCTACTGAAGACCTGGGAGACTCCACTCCATTTGAAGATTCAGAAGAGTTTTGTTTTAGTGCTGAAGCCAATAGCTTTGATGTTGATGATACTGACACTTACAATGAAGATGATGAAGAAGATGAATCAGAAACGGGCTACTGGATCACCTGCTCTGCCAGTTGCAATGTTGACATTAACACCTGGGTCCCTTTCTATTCAACAGAACTCAACAAGCCTGCAATGATCCTGTGTTCCAGTGGGGATGGCCACTGGGTCCACGCACAATGTATGGATCTGTCAGAGAGCATGCTCCTGCGTCTCTCAGAAGCAAACGTCAAGTACTTCTGCAATGAGCATGTTGACCTTAATAAAGGGCTCCAAACTCCCAAGAAGGTGGGGCAACTGAGAAAACAACCCATGAAACCACTGCGCAAAAAGAAAGCCATGAAGTTAACACCAGTGAAGAAATCCTTTCTTCGGAGATTATTTGAATAGATTTACGTCACTGATTAATATTTGACTGGGAGGAAGTGAAATCGCAGTCAAAGACAGCTAGTACTGGTTGCAGCAGAATGGGATATTAGGGCTCCTAGAGATCTTTTTAATCGATTTTAATTATTGTGATATTTCAGGTGAATTTCAAAGCTCAAGTATTTCTTTTATTTCTTATGTATATTTCAGTAACATCCAGATCTTAAAATGAAGATAGGAACCCCACTCATACAACGCATTGTGCAAGCAGGCAGCCAGATATTGATAACTTTGTGCTGCATCATCTTATGCTATTCCTCAGTTATCCCCAGTGAGTTTAAAGGAACTGCTTGTAGAGTAAGGCATTATCCCATGTTCTCACTGGTCTTAGTATCTGTCCATAAACAGCATCATAGTACCCATTTTAATTTTTTGTCTTAGTGAGTAGTTCTAGAATTATTGGGCCTAATTTATAACTGCATTACTCCACATTTATGTTGGTGCAATGAACTGAAATTAGAGTAATTATGCTAGTTTTCCACTAAAGTGATGGTTCAAGTCCCTGGTATCAGAAATAATGAAATACTCAGACACTGAGGCTCAGTTTTCTTAAGAGACTTCCATTATGGAAAGTTTACATATGGAGTGTTTAATTCTGGATAATTAATTTTTGATTTTCAGAGGTACTGAAAGGTTATGTGTCAGTGTTGGCTAGAGTTGTGGAATATATCATCTCATAACGAAAATCAAATTGCTATTTTAAACCGCTATGCTCAACAAATGCCTTGTGTTTGTTTTTTAAAAAAGTAGTAAGCTAATAAAGTTTATAATAAAAATGACTTTGCGTTTTTTTCACCTATTCATGAGATAAGTCAAATACTATAAATCCCAAAGTCTGTGAAAGGACAGCATATGTACTCGGGAACCCAGGTCTGATAAGGGGTCTGGCTTCACAGCTTCTCCATGCTGTGAATTCCCATTGACTTCAGAAGGAACTTTTATCATTTACTTCAGGTCCTCTGCTACACATTTTTTCCTCTGCTCCCCTAGGGTGACTGCAGAGTGTGAAAGTCTGAAAGTGTACGCTGTAGCTCAGAATGACTCACTGAGCTGGTGGGGCATTGTGAGGGGTGGAAACAAATGCAGCTGGCTGCTAAAAGCACAAGGAGAAGATTGGATTCAGAGTGAAAAGGACGTTGTCAAGGTTGAATAGCCCAAGAGTTTACTAACTTTTTTGCAGGTATCTTACTGGCTATTTGTAAACCCTCATCATCCTTGACTTTTTTGTTTTTTGTTTTTATTACTGTTCCAAACATCTTCTCAAAAACTCAATACCATTAGCTCCACATTTGTGAGCCTACGATAATAGCTCAGTATTCACAGTCCAGCTCTCGTGTTGGACCTCTGAATGAAAAAGAAAAACAGCAGGAGCAGCTATCAGCAGTCTGATCAGTACGTGCAGGCCCTGGGCAGCCACTCCTTTACAAACGGCACGTGCAGCTAAGTGTTCCTATCATCACAAACGTGTATGTGCACTACTGCCCTTAAAATATTCACAACACAAGTAAACACAGAGGAAAACAAATATCTACAGTACAAAGTTTCAGTTTCAAACCTTTTCATAGGCTGAGAAAGGTTATAGTTTGGGCAGAGCTTTTAAGTGGGAAGTAAATCATCCCAACTCCTCTCTCAACAGTTTTGTGTTGGTATAAATTCATGGATTGCAATGCCGGCTTCAATTTTCCTTTGTCATGCTACTGAATTTGAGCTCAGAGTCTAGTGCTTTATGTTTTTCCAAGGAACGAATGAAGATCACACCTATGTGAAGTCCCTTCAAAGTGGTGAAATTGGATAGTCAATATCCCCTTTTGAAGGTTAGTCATGGGTCTTACTCAGCTAAAGCACTATTAGCACAGACAAACAAAAGGATGGAAACGTTTTCCAAAGCAAAAGCTTGACACTGGGGTAGCAGAAGTGACATGCGATAATGTCCAGTGGCTCGCAGGCATTGGTGTCGTGGCTGCAATATCTTAAGACAATCCCTGAGTTTCCAGACTGAGGCTTGGAGCTCCAGCAGCTCCCTGAGTCACTAGGAGCCTCAAGGAGGGAAGCTGAGCATTTGGCAAGCACCAGAACAATTTGCAGCCCCTTCAGATTCTTAGCTAATTTTAAGGCTCCTGAAAAGAGCAGTTCACAGTCTGACTTTACCGTGTTCCTGGTCACGCCCATTAGTATATTGTGCGTTTGGACTGTGCCTTTTTTAAACGTATGTTTTATTTCAGAAGGAGGGAGAAATTGCTTAGCCAAGCCACGTCCCAGCCTCACAGTGAGAGCAGCATAACAAGCATTAAATCACACGTCAGAGACCACAGTCACTGCAGGAACAGGAAGGTGGTCATAAGCAAAGTAAAACATAATATTCCAGAGGACTGAAACATAAAGAGGTATATGATCATCAGTCTGTGATGAAGTGTATGACACTTGACATAGCATTTGAAACATTGCAGGAAATAGTTAATTCCATGATAATTCTGATGACGCTTTTGGGGCATGTACTTGTTAGAGCATTGATTCTCTTCAAAACCAGCTAATCAAAAACAGATGTTTTCTTCTTCAGGCAGAGTAGAACTAGAAGGTAAAATGAAGTAGATTTAAGTGAAAAAAAAAAATCTCTTTTGTACGTGACCTAGGAGTTTTGGAACGACAACGAGCAGTACCTCAGGTCCCAGTCACATTTTAAGGACATTATGTTGTCGTTATCAGCTTTTAAGAGAATAATATATAGATTTTACTGCTTGTGAGAGGTACTTGGATCCTGAAGTACCGGATTAATCTGCAGGAAGGGCACAGCACAAACTTTAGTGGTGGCACTAAACCATGTGGCGTGGCTCAGAGTGACTCATTGCACCAGTGCATTGAAAGGAGTGGAAATAACGCAGCTGGGAGCCCAAAGCAAGGGGGAAAGATTGAATTCAGATTGAGAAGAAATCTTCAAAGCTAATTACTACTAGACTCAATGCATTACAGATAGAAGGACTGTCTTACGTTTTTTAAATGACGAATGGCTATAGGTCCCTCCATAAGTGACTACCTACCCTATGCCATTTCAAAGGAGACTAAGAAGGGCTTAGCAACAGCCTCCGACAATCAAATTCCAGTTTGGTGTCTCTCTTTGACTTTCGAAATTTGTGACACACCAGAAGCCCCTGATTTTTTCTTCAAAAAAGCAGGGCAATCGGCTTATAAGTCTTCATATTTCTCATTGCATACACATATATAGGAAGATGAGAACACTGGCCGCTTCCACATGTGTGGGGGACCTACCAGTTGGTGGTTATTGTATATCCCTTGGTCTGCTGACTCACAATGCCCACCTTTAGAGGAAGACCTGGGCATTGAAAATACAACTATTTCACGTCTTGACCTGTCTCCTGAGGCTGCTACACAAGGTGCTAATTAATATCCTTTCTAATTTGTCCTGCTGTATTGTGGACAATATTAAGAACGACAAATTCAGCTTGATGCAGAAGGTAAAAAAGCACCCACACTGTTAAGAGCTGCAAGTGGTTGGCCACTTGAAAAACGCGGCATATTCAATCACCTGAAATAGTACTCTGGATAAGAGCAGTGGTAAGCCTCATTATTCTTCCTCTGATTCTAATTCTAATAAGAATACCTGGGAAGTGAAATTCAGTCAAGTCATTTATTAAGGATTTTATAGTAAAGGAACTAGAATATCTTAATTTACCAGGAAACTATGCAGGGCTTGGGTTTTCTTTGTTTTGTTTTAAATAGGTTCTCTTTTTTATCCAACGTTTTTTATTCAAGGTCAGCTGAAAGTATTAAGCTGGCAATATGAAGTCTAGAATTTAGATGTCTAATTACCTGATTGCATAAGGAAATCAGGTAGCTAATCATCTAAATGCTTAGTTCGCTCATCATTAATTCCATCCAAACTAGTTGGTTTACATAATTTTTTTGACCCTGAGATATCATTGCATGGAAGAAAGAAAGATTTTCTTAAGTGGAATAAAGGGAAACTAGAAATTGTTAACTAAAAGGTGGATTGGAAATTTTTGCAGCTAACTTTGAAGTCACTGTTGAGGAGCCAAAATTTGATGCAGAGGATGCACAGAAGCCAATAAGGAGACTTAATATAGGAGTCTGGACATAACAGTGCAAGGTTGATTTTAAACAAACACTGGGATGGTATTTGTGAATGAAGCAAAAGGAATTTTCAGAATAAATAAAGCTGTTTTTAAAGATATTTTAGTTTTCGGTCAAACAATTGCCTGGGAGCTAAGGTGCTGAAAGGACTGTTGGGATTCACAGAGTAATCTGCGTTTGTGTTAACGCAGCAGCTTCCAGAAGAGGCCTGTAATCACAGCTGTAGTCCCTGGGTGTTAGAACAATCCAAACTTGAAGAGCAGCCGCAATATGAATGGAAAGTAGGACTGCTAGCGTTAAATTGTGTGCATAGTTAAAAAAAAAAAGATAAGAAATACAAGTCCAGAAGCTTAAATATTTACAAGACCTTTATTTTAAATAGATTTTATGAATACAGAAACTGTTACACAGTAAGAAAAAGTAAAATTATAAAGAAATGCTGTGAGACAACACATAAAACTCAGTCAAGTCAGAAATTAGGGTGCTGTAAATATCTAGAATCTGATTCTGAACTACCTGACTAAAAGTCAAGGCTGATTTGTTTAGAGTCAACAGAAATATTCTTGTAAGGAGAAAAAAAAGTGAGACCAGAATCATAGCTTCCAATACAGTTCACATTGTTTTGTAACACAGCATTCACAATACGAAGCCCTTGAATAAAACCAAACAAACATAATATGATTGTATAAAAATACAGTTCAGGACAATTTCAAAACAAGGCATTATTCTCCATGAAGTAATCACTGCAGGTTTTGTACCAAGTATTAGACTAAAAAGGAAATGTGAAGGGTTGCAAGAGTAAAATGAATAAAAGCATCTCCACTTTTCTAAAGCCTCTTCAAAATCCAAAAGCTTAACAATAGACCGAGTAAACAAATGTGCCTATCTGCAGTCAAAATTTGCTTGCCTTCATGTGCATGCCTGTGTACATGCAGCATTGCTATTTTATTCCTTGTTTACAAAAGCTTCACTTGCAGGTGCCTAACGTTTCAATGCTGTTTGTTTTAATGGGTTCAAAACTCTCAAAGAGAGTCTCTTGATTTAAAGAAAATGTCAACAATGGGGAAAAAAGATTACACTAGATTCAAGTCTAAAGAAAAGGAAAAAAAAGTATTAGCTTTTTATGTCAGCTATTCTCTCCATAGCTGATAGAACGTGAACTGCGTCTTGATGGCTTAATAAAATTTCACCGGCGCTGCTACGTCCCAGTCCATATACTATTTAATCTGATGAGTTACCCCAGAATATAAACCTCGTCTTGAGAAAGCCTACATCTGTGGATAAAAACTTACTCAATCCTTCTGAAAGCAGTCAGAAAAATCACTTGCTTTTGCATAAGCAGCTTGTTGAAGTTAATTTGAAGTTTGAAAACGTCAGTGAAGTCAGTGAAATTACTTGCATAAAATGAACAGTCTGATCTGTCACTTCAGTGGCATGTGTGGCATGGGTGTAATGCAATAAACAGGGTGGAATTACTTGGGGGTGAAATTCACTCCTGTGCAAAGCCAGTGTAAACTGTATATACCACTTAACTGGAGTGAAAATCACCATGAGGTAAGTAAGGATTGTTAAACTGGGTCTTAGATTATTCAAGCAGAGTCAAGGATAAAACATAAGGTAATACAACTATCCCAAATAGGCATACAGAGGGAAAAAAAAACGTGTGCAACCATTTGCATGATGAAATATGTGCCAAACAAAAATGCAAACCACGTCTGCATTTACTGCTAAAGGATGCTCTTTAATGTATACCTGATATTTATACTCCATGGGAAAGAGCTGTACTTGTTGTTTGCATTTATTGATAGAGATGATACTTAGGTAAGCCTGGTATTTATGCTCTATGGGAAATACTTGTTTTATTCAAACAGTTGAAAGAAATAATTTAATCTAGAAAATAAACACTCAGTAAATGGAGACGTACATGGTGAACCATACAAAAGACACTGTAGTTCTTATGACTAAGTGTTTAGAATAGTAGGTGCTTTAAGTAAGGAGCATTAATTATTTCCAATCCAAAATTTTGACAAAATATTACATTATGTTTAAAGAAACAATATTAAAACATAAATCTTAAATTACAGAAGACTCTTAAAATCAGTATTTCAATTAAGAAAATCAAACGAAAGACATAATCAGAATAACACTAATATTTTTACCAATTACTAACACTTAACTCTATTTTTTCATTGTCCATAAATGGTAAACATCAGACTTTCAAAGATGTAGTAGATAACATGATCCAGAGACTACTGCACAAGCCTCAGACCACTACGCCTTTAAGTCTGTTGTTCACTTACTCCCACAAACCAATTCCTGCCACATCAAAATAAAAACCAAAGCAGATTCTTTTAATTCACCAGGAATTCACCCAGTAAAATTCTACTAATAAAAATTATACAATATATGAAGTTACCATAGAAATCTATAATGCTTGTCAAACAATAAGGTACACAGCAGAGTTTGAGTGTACTCAGACTCAGAGTGTACTTTGTATGGCGAGATAAGCACAAGACATTGTAAATCCTGATTTAGGACCACAAATATTGGTTTACATTTTAAAGTAAATGGACTACAATAAAAATATCTTCAAAAAATTCTAGCTACCTTTCCAGTATCTTCATCTAGCAAACTAGCATGGTGAGACCACTAACTGCGCCTAGGCAGTACTCCAAAATAAACGCTAAATAATAACATTTTTAAAAGCTCGTGAGATCAAAGTTTGCATCTTTAGTCAGTATTTTATATAAATAACTGAACTTTATCTCAAAACAATTATCTAAGTATCTCCCTGCTGAATCTTTACCTATAAAAGCCAGAGGACCATCAATGAAATAATCATACCCTCTTAAAAAGTAAATAGTAAAATAGTAAATAAAATACAAACAGAAGGAATAGCCACACTCACTTTTTTCATCAACTGTTGTAATTCTCCATAATCATATTTGTTTCACAATACCACTTCATATAAAACCTTCTTTACTTTAGCTTTCCAACTTATGAACAGCAGTCTAGGACCACAATAAACAGAAGACCCTTCCTTCCCACGTGTTTCCCCTTTCACCTCACCTAACAACCGGTAAACGCACCGCTGCATTGCCTTTTTTGGACTCCGTGAACAGAAGTGGATGTTTATTAAACTCCACTCAACACCTTGAACAGGGAGTATAAAACAATTGTTTCAGCCTTCCCTGTACCTCCACAGACCTGAAAAAGAACCTGCCTCCTTACAGGAAGACACCATAGTGAACCCAGTGCCAAATACTCATTACATTTAAAATTCCCCTGAATCGTTGCTTTCCAAGGAGCCTTCCAGTGGTAATGAGTCACCTAAACTACCCTCTGGATCAACTGTGAAGCCCTGACTTTTTAATGTTTTATGAGCATTCATGAACTTCTGGAGGTACTTAGAGGTATACAGCCAGTGATGTTTCAAGACATCCTCCATTTCATAGCATTTGGACTGCCTGGCATTCATTTTTCGGAACCTCCGAAATAGTTTGTTTCCAGACTCATTTCCTTCACTTGCCCAGGCACCAATGGATCCATCTCTTTCAATGATTTCAGGAACATGAGCAAGGGTTTTGTGGAAATAATTTGTAATCTTGCCTTCATATCTATACTTGAACTTTGTAGACAGGAGCTCAGCAAAACGCTGCGAATTGTAGCTATACTGGCACAGCAGTTCTGGACACTCTTTGGCAGGGCATGAAGATCGCCACACCGGCTTCATTTTCAGATAAAGGTCCATCAGCTCTTTTAGGGCTTCATGCCTTTCCTCACACTTTATTAATTCACATACTGCCTCTACTGTCTCTTTGGACATGAGCTTTCTAGCAAAATTTCCACTCATCCTCATCATAGGCTTTAAGTTCATCTTCTTCCTGAGGTGTTTGTCAAGAGTCAATTGCCATCTCTTCCTCTCCTCTTTAGACACATCGGGATTCTTATAAACTTCACCTATCTCCAGCTGGAAAATCCTGTAGAATTCAGTTGCATTGCCAATGTCGCAATGCAACGCATCTATGGAAGGAACCGTCTCAATAAAAGGTTTGGCTGAAACACCCTTCACTCTGTCACGGAGCTCATCAACAGACTCATGGTACGGGTTGGACCTCCATACTTCATACCTCTCCAAATTTTCAGCATGGCTCCTTGTTATGGAATGGAAAACCAAATTCTGGGATGCTTCCAGGCGTGTGGCATCACAGAGAGTACAGATGTAAGTGGAACCAGAGGCCTCCAGCCCTTCCACTTCCCGGACAAGTTTCTCATCATATCCTGTACCCCTGAAGATGAATTTGAATGTTCTCAGGATACCTCCCATTTCAAGCAGCAGTTCACTGTTTTTCATAGCCTCTCTTTCTGCTATGAGAGGGCTCAGGATTGCCGTCAGAGTTTCATGATCTGATTCATCAGCCAGCATTAGGCACAAGGGCTTGCAACACAACTCTGAATTGGGCTTTGCCTCCTCAAAGATCCTTATGTTTTCATTCCCATGGACTATAGCAACGTTCATGACTGTGAAAGAAAAGCGCACAGCCTTCTCTGGGACAGCTGGCCCACTTCCGTGCTTCTCGCTGACATCTCCCATTCCATCACAGGACTCTTTTACCACCACAGTGAAGGGACCATTCAAATAGTCATCCAGATTTTTTGCTTTCATACCTTCCAAGATGTCTTCCTCCATGTCCATTAAGGCAGAAACCAAGGCTGCATCATATCGAAATCTCTTTGCAATTGTGTCCACTGGGTAGTCATCAATTGAGAGTGGCAGCCCTGATAATCCGTCTATAATACCCACTTCTGTGTTAGTGGATACGTTTTTCAAGGGAGGTCTCCACTCGAACGGGTGATAACCGGGTAGGAGGGCTTTCTCAGCAGCGCGAAGAGCATGCAATGGCTGGAATATCTGCCTCCCAGTGACAGCTTTTACAGTTCTGTACATTTTATGATATTGGCTACAGCTAAGAAATGTATTGACTCGGATTGCCAGGCAGACAGCAGGGTGAAGTCCAGATCCTCTTCCTTGCATGATAGCCTCCAGTTCATCTGCTTGTCTGTGTTCATTTTTCGCTCTTAAAGCTAGGAGGAACAAAGTCATGCATACAGCCTTTATATCTCCTCCCTCTTCTTTCTCAGCAAAAGCCTTGACTTGACATTTCAGTTCTCTCAGACGATGTTTCTGAGCTCTCCTGGTCAAAGACAGGAGATGCTGCCTGGGTCGGCCGCCTTTATTTATGTGAGCGTAAAGCTCTCGCTCTTTCATCTCCTTGTGGCTGGAGAGGTGTTGGCTGTATTTACCTAGCAAAATCTCTTCATCACATTCCTTTACAGAGCATCTTATTCCCAGGCTATCAAGGATGTTCAGGAAGGATTTCACTGGGCTTACCAGATCAGTAGGAAAGCAAGGATACCAGCAGGAGGGGCAATAGCTGCCCATAACTTTGATACATTTAAGAATGCAAGTTCTGCAAAACAAGTGTCTACACGTTGTTTCCACTGGATCTGCCAAAATGTGCTCACAAATCTGGCAAGAGATGGATTTAATGAAATCTACTGGGTAATCAACTGCAAGGAGTTTGGTGCTGAGATGTATCTTCTGGCAATTGGCAATCTCTTTCATTAAGTTTTTGTTCTTTATCTGTGCTTGGTTCTTTAGGCCTTTGTTTATTCGAGCACGTCCTGCAGTGGCCTTCACTCGTTTGCCAAGCTGTACACTGGGTGATTGGCTTTTTCTCTTGACACCCCGGCGGGCAGTGCGGCACACAGCACAGTTTGGGGAGTGGGGTTGCCACTCCATCGCGGTGTTCCTAGGGAAATAGACTTCACATAGGGCATTACTGAATTTTCCATGGATAATGCTCCAGCAGTTATGACAAAATCGAGTGGGATGGATTGTGTCAATATCCCCTCGCACGTCAATCTTAAAAACCTTAGCAATGAGATCTGGCCAAGAGGTTGCTTTTTTCTCTTTCTTTCTCAGAAGCCACAGAGTTTCATTGTCCACTGGCCCATGTACTGGATGACTTCTCTTGTGGCAATTTGTTTTAAGTGAAACTCCACAGATGCGGCAAAGTTGCTTCAGATTATTCTGATGAGCTTCATTGTCTTGTATTTTCATGTCATTGGCATCTTTCTCAAGTGCCTCCCTATTGCCCATTAAGTCCGTCTGTGCCAGAATTGACTTTTCTGCTCTTGGCATTGTTTCATCCTTATGCACTATAATGCTTTTGCCTGAAGAAGCTGCCTCTTCTGCTTGGTTCTTATTTACGCATCGGGTGTCATCAGAAGGTCTTTTTTCAAATGATCGCACTTTAAACAGCTTGAATTTCCATTCAGAAAATTTTGTATGGGGATGCTGAATTTCTTCAGGCAGGTCCATTTTTGATGCTACTGACATCTCCAGTCCAGTAGAAACCAGGTCACTTGAGAAAGAGAGAGAAGCTGTAAGTTAGTTTATGTTCCATAATGAATAATGAATGATGCCTGCGCATAAAGCACATAGTTTTTAATAGAACCATTCTAATCACTTTGACTGAAAAATGCTCTGAAAGTAAGCGACTGCAAGTTCGATGACTTACAGCTCAGTTTATACAAAACTGAATGAGACTGGCAGCTGAAAGATGAAATTTTGTCCATCTCATGCCATATTATTTAAATCAAGACCACTGCTCTCACACCACTTTTTAGTCCTTGATTCTGAACTTAAGTGTCTCCTGCGCACCATTCTGTACAGGCAGAGCAGCACATGCTACTTGATCCCAACATAGACTGCATTCAGGCCTCAAGTTTGCAATATGTTTTGGTAGATGCTTACTGAACGTGAGTAGCTCCAGTAAAGCTGGAGGAGTGTATCCTCTGTTGATGCAACATGCTATAGTTCCCTTGACTTTAAAGGAGAAATGGCAATTCATACTGTCTGCAGATTTGCTCTAGAGAAAATATTTATACATTTTAAGTTAGTCGTCTGTTTAAGGACCCTGCTGAGAACTCTATTTGCAAGGATTACTTGTACTGGAAAGCTAAAATTCTTGTTCAGATTTGACCTCAATTCTAGCTTTCATAGAAAAACAACCAAAAATAATAACAATGTGGTTGCCATGGAAATATGGTATTGTATAAAAATAAATGCAACCTCAAACACTGCAACTTTGTGCTACTGCGTCAGACTTATAAAAAAAATCTGTGCAGAAACAAAACTAAAACTGACTAATCTACCTTTCACTAACTGGCTATTAAAAGTGCAAAAAATAAACAAATAGCATAGAGATTAAATTACCTTTCCTAATGTATTTTTTGTTTACTAATCTGGTCGATATGAGCAAAAAAAATGAGGAAAACTTTACATTAAGACTATACAATTTGAACTAGAAGTTAGGAGGGTATGGTTTGGATTTCTTGAATAGATTATATCCCCAATTAGCACTTCACCTAATCTGCTAGAAATCTCTGCTCTGTGTCTTTTCTGAAGGTGTCCTTTATATGTCCCGTCCATGGTCTAAAGTGATGATGCTCAGGATGCTTCTGAGATTATTTCATTTATAACCTTTCCATAAAGCACTATTTCGGTAAATCTTTCAGAGCCCATCAGGAAAGGACTGCGTGCTTTGATTAAGTCCCAGGTCCAGAATGACACATCAGCCCGCTCAGCTCTTGCCTCAAGAGCTGTGTTTAACTTCAAAATTGTTCATTGGGCCTTGGCAACAAAAATTAAGGTTTGTTTTCTTCCCAGCTTCTCTTCATTTCATCCCACTGAGAACAAGCTGCCCATACTGCCATCCCGTCTGCCTGCATGGCTCTGTCCAGCTGCCTACCCTGCTAAATATCGCTGTCTGCACTGCGGTCCCCTGCAGATCAAGCCTGGCAACGAGCTTGCTTGTGTCCTGCTGTCCATAGACCTGTGATGTGCAGCTGTGCCCAGATGTGTTTGGAGCTGTGCTGCTTTCTCCCTTTCGTGGCTGCATCCCGTGGCAGACTTGGTAAAGTCTATCCGTGGCTCAATAACCTGCTTGCCCCCGAATAGTCCTGCTTTCCTACAGACATGTACTTGATTGCCTATGGAGTAACTGAATAGCTAGTTGCCCAATAGTGTCCGCAGATCTTTTCCTTCTGCAAAACAGCCTATGCCATTTTGTGTAGTTTCACCACCTCCAGCAGCACCTTCAGCATCTCCCAAACCACAAGCAATGCCTCTGCAGAGCTGTTGACTAATTCAGTGTAAAGAAACAGCCAGCACTGAGTACGTTTTGAGCAAAGTATTTAATACTTTCTTTCCTCATCCAGACTTGTGACTAAGTGTCACCTTTGTGCCATACTTATCTCCAGGCCCAAGGCCTAACTCTTGCTATTAATCTCCAGATCGAATCAGGCAGAGTTTACCCCGCTAAAGAAAAATTCAAACGTCATTTTTTTTTCCTCTTTCGTTGAACATCCCCTGGAAGAAAGGAATGACAAAGAAGTCCTCTCCAGTCACCCAACCTTCGCCCCTTGCAGTAGATAATTGTTGCCAACAGGCTATTTGTCAAACACTTTGAATTGCCTAGCTCCCAGGCAGTGGCGTTTTCAGCAGCTTTCTTGGGAGAGCTAGAAATATTCCCAGTGCTAGGCGTATTTCCTGCTACTCGTTCTAAATTTGCCTTTGGTCTGTAATTCTAATTGCGGGTCATTGGGGGTTACAGCAAACAGTTCCTTCCTCCTCCTCCTCCTCCTCCTTCTCCTGCCTCCCTACTGTTCACCCCGTTCAGATCCTTACAGAGTGACCCGCAGCCAGGAACCCCAGCCATGGCAATTTAATTGGCTCTGACAGCTGTGATTGCGTTTAATATCAACTCTTTTTACCTTGACAAGGAAAAAGAAATCGCTTTTCTTTCCAGCTCACAATATTTCGTTTATTTCAGAACAAGAGCAAGATTGTAATACCGTTACTCATGTCAGAGAAGACCTTAATCTATGGATAGTCTCGCTGAAATGAACAGAACAACCTCTGAGGTGAAGAAGCACGTATGAAATAAAATCATCGACCTGCACATTAAAACAGGAAAATGAATCAACACTCGGCTGTCTTACAAGCATCTGGGATGCTGTCATTAGTACTGCCAGCCTACCTTGAGCTCGCTGTCAGTTTGCAGAGCTGCTGAAATGTCTGTTCAGCTTGTTCCAAATGCCAGGCTCGCCTGCCCTCTCTCGTGCGTGCTTTCTCTCTTCCTCTGTTCCCGCTGCTTTTTAAAGCCACTGCAGTGCTGTTTATCTCATTTATCCCTGTCCCTCCCAGCTCCCAGTGCCACCCTGGTGGTAACCACAGGTTGCTTCAACTCAGCACAATACAGATCTCTCAGATCCAGGTGGCACCTGGCAATTTATGAGGCTTAACCACAAAATTCATAAAAAACAAGGTCCTCTTGCGTGAGACCCCTGGGCTCTGAGATAAGTACACAGCGACGGTCTGAGGAACACCTGCACTGTTTTTTACGACAAAGTTTTGTGTTTGGCATTCTTCTTTCTAGTTTCAGAGCTGGTTTCTTCACTGTTATCTATCTGAGAGGAGAACCTGGTGTCCGGTCACATTACTGTCAAGGGAGTCACTCACCAGAGCGATTTCCTTAAAGGCCTCTGTCTTACTTCCTCAGGTCACCTGCAGCCAAGCTTCTGGTTTTGGGGTGAACTGACAAGGGGGATCACAAAATGCCCTTTCTTCTGATACCAGTATCTCCTCTGCAAGGATATCACCTCTCTGGTGATGTATGTCCAGGGTCTTGAAGACCCTGAATAGGGAGGACAAATTAAAAATACGAAAACTAGCTATATATTTTTGTGTAACTTTCTTATTTACATAATACACCAGCTATGGGCCGCAAGCGGCCACAGATGGTGAGCGGTAGAGTGAGCTATTCTGTAGAAGCACAGATGTGAGACTGTTATTTTCTACAGATCAGCTGTCTCAGAAACTGCCTCAAAGTGAAAAAGAAACCAAATTCTGTCACAAAACAGGAGCTTGAAAGATTTCAGTCTCCACACACAACACTGTGCAGCAAATTCTAGCTATCGATCAAGTCACTGTGCTGGGTACCCCTCGAGTGGCCGACAGCTCCTCACGACTCATACCAACACAAGTAACGTACGGTGAATGCGAACCAAGTTCAGGGCGAAACCCTGATATCCTTGCTCAGATTGAAACTTTGACTCGGGCAAAATCCCAGTGTGTAGGAGTAGTAACAAGTGAACGTGAGCGTCAGCATAAGGTGGAACAGAAGTCATAGACATTGTTCTCAGGTTAAGACAGCTGAGGCCAAGCATCCCATGACTGAGGTATTCAGTGACCTCTGAGAGCATTGGATGGCTCCCGAACCCAGTTCTTGTGCTGTCCCTGCTTTGGCTGGACTTCCTAACAACCTGATTATTTTTACTATTCCCTCACTAGCATTTGGAGAGACCTTTTCAAAAACATCTCAGATCAGGCTGCAATACTAGATATCAGTCAAAATCACTCTCTGCAGTCACATGCCACTTTCCTCCCTTATCTTGAAACAGCAGATGCAGTGCACTGACAATATGCATTGTTTGGTTTGAGGGATTTGGGGCTATTTGAGAAGTAGTTTGGCAAATTTCTCCCTCTGAGGTGCTTATTTGAAACTTTACCCAGGTAGCTGGCTACTTGCCCCATTTTCTGGGAGCCAGAGCTTCAGTGCAAACGAGCCAGCACTATATCGGCAGCAACTTGATTAGCAAAAGAGCCACTTGGGCGTATGTAAGCATAGACAAATGGTTTACTTCCAAAGCACCCAGGAAATCACCTTGAAAAAGTATTGTCTTCTAGGGATGCTACAGGCAAGTAAAGGTTTTAATTGATCTCAGATTGCTACAGCTACGGCTGTGCCTTATGTCCATATGAGCATAATTGCCCCACAGTTTGAGCGGCACAGATCCAGTGGTGGAATTTGTTTTCCCTGTGCACCTGGCACCACCAAGTGGAAAAAAGCTTTTCTGCATTATTTTGTGTTACAATGTGGGCATTAATACACATGACTACGGGCCTAAGCTTGCGATAAACCACGAAGATTTGGAAACCTCACTGAAGAAAGTAATTTAATTTAGATTTGCAATAAACTCCCCTGATAAGTTCCTTGGATTCCCGATCAAAATACAGGGGACATCAGTGCTCTGAGCACCTTACAGATTGTTAGGAAAATAGTATTTTTTAACCATGGAGAATTCTCCAACTAAGCGTATCTGTTTTACAAAGCTGTGTAAGGATAAATGATTTTTATAGACTTTTTTTTTTTCCATTTTACAGATCGCGAAAGAAACATGCAAACAGCTCTTCCGTTCAG